AAAAGAGTGAAAAAAATAACTTTGTTAGCTCATTATTTCTTCTCGCTCTTTACGCGACAAGTTTCCTAAAATCCTTTTAATTAAATATACTCTTTTTTTTTTGTTTTCCGCCCGGTATCCGAGGTTTTACCTCGACTAATCCGGATCCGACCCGCGTTGCGCACCTGAAAATGGTGAGTGAGTCTCTCAACAAAGGTTGCTGCATTCACAAAGTCTCGAACTCGAGACCTTACTTAAACTGAAACAAGCCGCTTACCACTTGATCCAACCTCTCGTTAGTTTTAATTAAATATACTCTGTTCCTTATAATATGTGTAGTTATTTTGTTTTCAGGTTTATTTTATTTTATTTTATTTTCTTTTCTTTAGGTTTTCAATAAGGAATTTTATCAGTTTGGAGTTTCTAATGGACATCTCGTTACAATTGATTGATTATATGATATGTAGTATTGGTCATCTATAATATCAAATCTGAAGATATTTCTCTAGCAGATTTTAAAAGCACGATGCAATAATAAGCCAATAATTTTTAAATGGTCTCATTTGTCAGTTACTAAGATTGATATTCTTAATGATTATATAAAGGTTAATATTTTTATTTTTTTATTATTTTATTATATTATGTAAAAATCTCATTACGATATGAATTTAAATGAAATTAGATACATATATTCTTATGATTTGTTTTCTGCTATTCGAATCTTTTTGTGTGAATGTTATAAAAAATTTATATTATAAATACAATTTATATCAACGCTATCAATGCTACTTATCAATTATCACTAATATCAATACTATTTAAACTACTTATTAAATTTTATTGCCATTAAAGTTTAAAATGCATTAAAGTTCAAAAATTAAAAAAGGACTAAAATTTTATTAGTGTTTATATGACTTTTTATTTATCAGCTAATTTTAATTTTTTTTAATTTAATTTCAAATTGTGATCTTATTTGAAAATTTTAATATTTTCTTCTTTAAATTAGAATGGGGATTATCCATTTACTTTTCATTATTAACTAAAAACTAAAATTAGATAAATTTAAATTAAAAATATTACTTTATCTACAATATAAACAAAATTAAAAAATCTTATTTAAATTTAATTTGAATTTTATGTAATAAAAACTTTTTTAGATTAAGTTATTTATTTAAAATTCAAACTTCACCTTATTAAAATTTTAATTTAAATTCAACATTAACATCATTATATTATATTTTTAAATTTCAAATTATGAATAATGTAACCTGTCATTTTCACTAAAAAAAAGGGGGTGAAACCCTCTTTCCTTTAAAAATTGGAAAAGAATTTATCAAAAATTATTTAATTTTTCACAAAATAAAAGATAAACAAATTAATAAATATAAATTTAGTGAAAATTACTCACACGCGGGAAGAAACCACTAGTTAACCTCTAAAAAGAGGAGAAATGATTTTGAACAACTTTTTTGTAGTATCTTTTGATACAATTTGATATATCATTTAAATGATTGATTGTTTTATTCTTATGAGATCCGTGATATTGAATACATTTATTCATTTAATTATATGTAGAAGTTGTATTAAATGGTGATATAAAAAGGTTGTTTCTATAGCATCGTCCTGAAAAGAGTAACTTTGACAACATGTAGAGAAAATGTGTAACTAAAGACAACAACTTTTATTTTTTATTTAAAAATGTTAATTTTATTAATTTTTAAATAAAAATATTAATTTTTAATTTTTTATATTTAATGTGTTAACCTTCTTTTTTTTAAGTTCATTTGCAACATCAACATCATTATTCAATTAATCTTTAGAAAAAAATTAAAAATTAATATTTTTAAATAAAAGAAGGTTAAAAGTTGATATTTTTAAATAAAAAAACTTAAAAATTGATATTTTTATTTAGAAACTAATAAAATTAATATTTTTAAATAAAAAAAATTTTCTTAACTTATGGCACAACTTAAGAGTATAATTAATACACCTTTTAATCATTAATTGATATAAAAAACAAAAAGGTTGATATTAGTTTTAGTATCAATGTCATGTGTTTTTAATTTAATTGATTAGTTGTTAAAATTAAAGTCAAACCTTATTTTTTGAACATAATCCAATAAAAATAAAATTGATACCTCTATTTATACTTTTTATCCAAAATATGCACACACAACACATGGTATTTCCTTGGATAGGGTTGTTTCCCCTTTTTTTTAGGTTGTTACTTAGCTACAATTTCTACGAAGCATAGTTCAGATATATATATATATATATATATATATATGGAAATTCTTTACAAAGACAATACCTTTTTTAGGT